GAAAGAACAGGAGAAAGTCCGGATTAGTGGTGTCATCTAGACAAAAAACAAAGTATCCACAGGACTGTCCACAGTAAAAATTGCAATTAGAATATGTTAACAAAAAAATAAAAATTCCATCAGTTTGTAGCGGGGGAGATGGAAATTACTGTATCCTGTAAAAACGACAAAGAAAAGAATGGTCGATTAGCTTTATTAAAGAAAATTTCGTATTACTATGAATTGTATGATTGGAAAGCTTTGTTACAATTCTATGTTGCCTGGATACGTCGGGTTGAATCTGGTCAAAATAAGTGGTCTGATGATACTGCGGACATTGAGACTCCTTTATTAGCCAGTGCCGTCAGATCTAGACAGAATAGTGTTAGTAACAAATCTGCTAGCATTGTAAAAGCACCGTCAGTTTGGTTTTGTTCTGATTTTCAGAAAAAGAAATATTCTTTTCAGGTGCTAATGATAAGGTCATTAAGGGGGTCACTAGGTATGTGCAACATGTTTGTGCGTCTAGTTTATTAAAAGATAACAAGCAATTGCCCCATGCCGAGTTAGATCCATCGTGTCCTCATCATGAGTTATGACTACATGACAGTAACATTGAGAATGTTTGTGCACTAGAATTTTGCAATATATGTGAGGGTTCAACATGTTTAAAACATATTTTTGGTGAACATGGTATTGACAATCTTGTGCGTTTTCATAATCAGGTTAAGCGTTCAGGCATGCCAAATATATTTGGTTGTAAAATTACTGTTTACTCAAACCTGAATATCAATTTATTTTTGATCTATGTTATCTATGTATCATGATTCAGATGTAGTTAATGTTTTAGAATATGGGTTCCCATTGAGTTGCGAAGGTTCTTGTTCAGGTTTGTCTGTAGAGAAAAATCATGCTGGAGCAAGAAGCCATCCAGATGATATAAGGAAATATTTGAAAAAAAAGTGCACTTACGGTAGCATTATTGGGCCCTTTTTTAGTAATCTCTTTGAGACTGACATGGTTATTTCTCCATTAAATTATGTGCCGAAGAAGGATACTTTAGATCGTAGGGTGATTTTAGATTTGAGTTTTGGTGTTGATGGTGAGGACTCGGTAAACATTCATATATATAAGGACTTGTATTTGGGTAATCCTATCAAGGTTTCTTATCCTTCAGTTGACTCTTTGGTGGAGTTGATAAGGAAAAAAGGTTCTGGTTGCGGGATTTAAAGCGGGCTTATAGACACATTTCAATCTGTCCTGGTGATTGGCATTTGGTTAGATTTTCACGGGAAAATCCTATCTTTTTTTGATCGGGTATTGTCCATGGGCTTAAGGTCAGCTGCGTATATTTGTCAAAGGGTGACTAACGCGGTTAGTTTTATATTGGACGCTCACTATGATTTACAAATTGTTAACTATCTTGATGATCTATCGGGCTGTGACGTATAGGAAAAAGATTTTGACGCTTATGCTATTTTGGGTGAAGTATTGGACAACTGTGGTTTGGAGGAGTCTGTAGAAAAGGCCACTCCTCCTTCTACTTCTATAGTTTTTCTTGGTATACTCTTTGATACAGTAAGTTGTACTCTATCTATTACTAAGGATAGGTTAGAGGAAATACTTGGTTTGGTTAAAAGTTGGTTGCAAAAGGATAAATGTTCTTTAAGAGATTTACAATCTTTGCTCGGTAAACTTCATTTCGTGAGATCATGTGTTCGCCCAGGGCGACTTTTTGTTTCGAGGTTGTTGGTTCGGTTGCGGACCTTCGGTGTTCAAAACATTACAAAACGTGAGCCCAAGTATATTAAGTTGGATTAGTTTGGTGGAGTAAGTTTCTAAATATATACCATGGGGTTTCTATGATGTTTCTTATTGACTGGTCTAGTCCAGATTGTGTGCTTTCTTGTGATTCAACCTTGGTTGGTTGTGGAGGTATTTGTAATGGGAGGTATTTTCATACTGTCTCTCCGGCATTTATTCGCAGGAAACAGTTGCATATTAATGCTCTGGAACTTCTTTGTGTTATGGTGTGTCTGAAAGTATGGGCGAGTGTACTCAAGGGTTCTAAGATTGTTATTTATTGTGATAATTCCTCATCTGTCACTGTACTAAATTCTGGTGCTTGCAGAAATACTTTCATTCAATCTTGTCTCAGAGAAATCTGTTTTCTGACAGCTAGTCATGAGTTTCAAGTCAAAGGACGGCATTTGAGTGGTGAAGCAAACAGAGTTGCTGACATGCTTTCAAGGTGGGATATGGATCCCGGTATTAGCACTGCGTTTTTAAAGCAGGCTCGTGTCAATTCTTGGACAGAAATTGAATTGAATGATGATCTCTTTCATTTTACTTCAACTTGGTGATTTTTTTTTATTGTTTATTGTAGATACTCAACTACATAAGTTACAGAAAGACACAGAGTTGTGTAAGAAATCTGCCTTTGCAGAAGGAACTTACAAGAATTTGAAAGTGCAATTTGTTTCCTATTTTTTATTTTGCACATATTTCAATATGTCACCTTTACCTACTTCTGTAAATACTCTTTGTCTATATGGAAATTTTTTAAGTAGAAGTTTTAAGAGTGTAGCTTCTATTCAGAATTATATTAGTGGTGTCAAGACTTTACATTTGCTATTAGGATTTGAGTTTCCAACGGAAGATTGGTTTTCCATAAAATTATTGTTCAGAGGTTTGTCTCGTCAAAATCCTCATATGCCTCACAGAGCTTTGCCTATTACTCCACATATTCTTTTGAAAATGTATGAATTTTTTTATATGTCTAACCCGTCTGATGTAACTTTCTGGTGCTGTTTTTTTGTTTGCCTTTTTTCTCATGGTTAGAAAGTCTAATCTAGTTCCAACTTCGGCAAAGAATTGTGATCCATGCAAACATTTATGCAGAAATAACGTCATTGTTTATAGTGATTGCTTGTTGGTTAAAATGGAATGGTCAAAAACCATTCAATATGGTAACAGGAAACTTGAGTTACCATTGGTTAAGATAAAGGATTCCCCGCTTTGTCCGTATAATGCTTACAATCGTATGTGCACTCTATTACCAGCCAATGCTGATGACCCCGCCTTTTTAATTCCACAAACTAAAGGCAATAAAATTTTATGTTATTCATTTTTTCAGAAAAAACTCAGAGACATTTTAGAAATGTGTGGGTTAGATTCTTCTAAATTTTCCTCTCATTCTTTTCGCAGAGGAGGGCTACATGGGCTTTTCACAGTAAAGTTCCTTCTGAGTTAATACAATTTCACGGGGATTGGCGAAGTGATGCTTATAAAGTTTATTTAGAATTTGATTTACATGACAAATTGTCTATATCACGAGCTATGGCTGAGGAAATTTCCATTTAATATTTTTTCTGTTGTTTTTTTGGTAGACAATGTGTCAAAAAATAAAGTTTTGTTGTTGTCAGATTCTACTTGCAAATACGTAAATAACATTAACAGGCTGGAATGCAATGCTATATCTGGTGCTAATATGAACAGACTTCATCAATTTCTGAAAGACAATATAAAAAGCACTGTTGAGAAGATACACACATTTGTTATTGCATGTAGGCACAAACGATGTTGGGAATGGTTTATCCAGCAAATTGATTATTCAATTTTACAATAATTTAATTGATTTTATTTGCAACACTTTACCGTCTTTAAAGATAATAGTTTCAGCAATTTTGCCAAGACCCATAGATTTTGATGAACACAAAACAAACTGTTATAGATTGTAATAAAGCATTGGCGAAGTTAACGTTGAAGAGAAATACTTTATTTGTTAAAACTTACAAGCAATTTTTTCAGCAACCAGGATCTATTTATAAAAGAAAATGTTTTTGTAAAGATAAATTACATTTAAGTTATTTTGGCGTTTCTGTTATACGAAACCTTTTTATAGGTGTAGTTAATCATTTGTAATTCATGTACTTTTTTTGTTAAGATACTTTGTGGTTTTTAACTTTATTTTTCAGAAGATGATTGTCAAGAAAGCTGGGCTAGACCACTACTTCTCCATCTGGTTTACCTGTGAACCTCTATTAGTTTGCAGGATTCCAGTATTTGTTGTTTGTATTATCAGGTATGTTTATATTATAGTGTAGTTTTTATTTAACACTGGAAACTTTATAGTGGCCGTTGGTTTGGTGCATTTATATATTTTGGAAGTTAATATTTATTATTAATACGGACTTTAAATAAAAAATTATTTATGACATATGTATGATTGTAAATGTTTATTTATTCCAAAATATGATTATCATTACTTATGTGTTGAGTTTTGTTTTACTTACATCGAAATGGGAGTGGAGGGAATTGGTAAATTTTTAATTAATCAAAAATGCTTAATTCCATCTCGGATACTTTCGACATAACTCGTTACCTGTTTGTATGCATAATTTATCGTTCGTATTTTAATCTCCTCTGATTGGTTGATAGAAATATCTGATCACTTCTGGCAAATTTCATATTCCCTTGTCATTTGAATTAGTTTACTGGTCAATTCAACACGGTCAATTTACCCACCCTCCCGCCCATTTTTGTTTTTGTTTTTTTGTATTACTTGAACATTTTTGTACATGCGTTATTCCTTATTAAATCGATGATGTTAGTCTTTTTCAGATAATGCAGATTGCTGAATTTGGTGTCTTTATGGGATGTGACTGATGCATTTATATATTTTGGAAGTTAATATTTATAATTAATATGGACTTAAAATGAAAAATTATTTAAGACATATGTATGATTGTAAATGTTTATTTATGCCAAAATATAATTATTATTACTTATGTGTTGAGTTTTGTTTTACTAACATCGAAATGGGAGTGGAGGGAATTACTGTAGGAGCTCTGACGCCCGAGCTTACCGCTGTGAGAAACTCTACTTATATACTAGAATAATCTCTAACCAAAATGCATATAATCTCTAAACAGAAATAAATATATTCCGTATTACTATTGTGTTTTAATGAAACGCCTGTAGTAACTTAATATCAAACACTTATTTTTTTTCACTAGGAAGGATCGGAACCAGTACCAAAACTTCAGAAATCGTTTTCCGTATTACAACCGTAATTAGTGTGCGTTATTAACAAACAAAAGAGAAAGTAGAATTTGTTATGTGAACATTCACTGGATTTAAACATGTGCCGACTGTCTAACAGAGAACCTTCGAACTTCCTAATATTATTAAGGTAACTTAATAGTTTTCGGCATATCACGCCTAGTAGTCGACGCCCCTAGACACTTCCCTTCCCATCATTAATCTATTGGGGGTGTAACCAGTGGTCTCATGTTGAGAAGACCTATAAGACATCATGACATAAAGAAGTAATATGTTCCAATTGGAGAGATATTCATGTACACACCCCGTAAGCATGGAAGCGAGAGTTTTATTGAATCGTTCAACCATCCCATCTGATTTCGGTTGATAAGGGGTCGTACGGGTCTTTCCTATCTGAAGCAACTTGCATATTTCCTTAAACAAGTGGCTCTCGAATTGACCACCTTGATCGGAATGGATAATAGTTGGTACCCCAAACCTAGAAATAACCCCAGTCATAAGAATGTTTGCAACTGTAGTTGCCTCTATGTTGGGTATGGGGTGACTTTCAGTCCACTTAGTATAATAGTCACTGATAACTAATATATATTAATTGCCTTTGTCACTTTCGGGAAGTTCCCGAGGATATCCATAGCAATTCTCTCCATGGGATAACCTGACTCTTGCTATAAAAATAAATAGTTGTGGTATGATAGCAATGTGCAGTTTTCTACCCCCATTGTGTCAACTGCATTTATATTACCTACTACGCCACCAGATGCGCTTTTGTCACAGAAAGACAGTTATACATGTATATACTGATACTTTTAAGTAGGTTAACAGATCCTAGATGTACAATCCCCTTGTGTGAACAGCATTCGAGAAAAATTTGTACAAGCACAAGAACAAGCAACGAGTTAGGTGCACGGATCAACAGACAATAGTCGTACACGCATTTTATTAGATAAAGCTACCACTAGTCATTCATATCAGATAACGGAGGTTGTCATTATGTGACATATACATGTACATGTGGTCTAGAAATATATCAGTAACTCTAGAAGGACAATGCGTAATTTTAAACGCTTCGTTTGGTTCTTATTTTTTATTGCAGAAATTATCGCCGAAGATAAGCGACTTCTTTTAAATGATCCTGATGTAATGACTCAAATTAAACAAATGTCATTGGAATTACAAACTCTTAAACAAAAAACATCACAACTAGAACAGGAACTTACTCAAAAGACTTCGGAAGTAAGCCAAATGAAAGTGGATCTCGGATCAGCCAAACATAAAATAACACTGTTAGAAAACTCAAATTCGGGTAAGATTTTTATTTCAATTTTAACTTCCGAGGGAAGTGTGCTGAACTTTATATATACTTTTGTTACTAGTGATATTTTCTATCAGGTTGTTGGTTGAAAATGGCGACCAGAATGAGCTAGACCGCTAACAGCATGCAGACATGTATACATTTCGTGATGATTTGACAGTGTCGATCCTTATGCTATATGCACAATATTCCACCTACCGAACTCTTCTTTGTTTACTTAAAAGCCTGAATGCCCAGAAATTTCTCCTAAAATTCTGATCAATTTCGCAATTAATTTTTAAATGAAAGAAGAATTTGGAAGTGCGTGTGTTTTCAAATGATTTAATGTATTGCATATTGGTATCACTGTTTGAATATTTACGAATATGATTCCTTGAATTTTAGTCGATGATGTAAATATTTTCTTTTAGGATTTGGTTCTGTTTATACCAGATGGGGAAGGAAGGATTGTCCATCAAACGGAACAGAGTTGGTTTATACGGGTAATTTTATAAAGTAATGACTGTTTTCCACCCTTATATTATATGAGATAAACGCATGATGCTGTCACTTACATCAGGTCCACTTCAACCGAAAGCACATAACACGCTTGAGAGTAAATTAAGAGCAATAGACCCGACATTATGCCAAATGAATTCAAGCGACTGTAGTTTACCGATGTTCAGATCTCTTAGATCGATAAAGAAATGACAAATCAAAGTAACTAAACAAAAACTGAGGGAATTGCATAATCTCCAAAAGGACTGATACTGGGTGTGTCTCCTGCTATGCATCATGCATCACCAGCCATGTGAATCCATACTCAGTCAAAATGTCACATTCGGGATTAGACGGGAAAATTACAGATCAAACGACTATACTAGTACTCTTATCCAAATATCTGATACCGCAAAAACACGTCAATAGTAAGTTGAATCCCCGACACATCGTATTAGACAACCGAGTCATGATGGTTACCGTAAAACTTATGTAAACGCCATACGATGGAGCAGAGGTTATGTTACTGTTAAGAAATGGAAGTTGACAACTGGAAAGTTCAAATCATCACGTTTGTCTTAAGATTCTAGTTAAAAGCCATTCTTCTGTGTTAATTTGAGGAAACGATCAAGATATGAAGCAGACCTTCTTCTTTCGGTAATATCTTTAATCTCAAGTTTACTGGGATATATAAGATGTAAGCACTCATTGAAATTTTGGTTATTGAGTAACAAAATATTATTAATATATTTTAAAAAAGAACTAAAAGAACTTAGCACGATGCTTTTTCTGTTTCCATTTGAGAAGGTTCTGTATGAACTCTGCCTCATATGAGGACACGAACAAGTCGCTAATGCATGGTGATGCACAATTCGTACCTATTGAAATACCGATTTTTCTGCTAAAATATAAATACACCAAACTCAACAGATATGTTGTCGATCAAAAAGATCTGCGTTTTGATGACACCATCGTCGGTGTATTTGGTGTAAAAATCAGTGTCACTTACAGTGGTTCTTCAGAAAGTATGACATAAAACAGGAATTGTATCTGCAATTCTCAATTTTGTAGAACAAGCTTAGCAATTTAGTCAGTCTTTCAATAGAGCTCGAAGATGGGGAATATTAGTGTAAATAAAATTGATAATGGACATGTGGAATGTGTCAAAGAGACAACAACCCGACCAAATAGCAGAAAACAGCCGAAGGACACCAATGGGTCTTCAACACAGCGAGAAAATCCCGCAACCAGAGGCGGGCTTCAGCTGGCCCCTAAACAAAAATGTGTACACCTTAAGTGAAAATGGACGTCACACTAAACTCCGAAACATATAAATGAACTAAAATTTAAAAAAAAACATACAAGATTAACAAAGGCCAGAGGCTCCTGATTTGGGACAGGTACAAAAATGCGGCGGGGTTAAACATGTTTTGTGAGATCTCAACGCTCCCCTTATACCTCTAGCCAATGTAGAATAAACAAACACACAGCAATACGCACAGTAAAACTCGGTTGAATAGAAGTCCGAGTATGCTGTGGTAAGAACTTTAAACAGATGTTTAGTCGAACATCTTGACTACCCGGTTATATATTGTTCCTTAAAAGAGTTTAATGTTGATATCACTACTTATCACGTATTTGGAAGGAAAACAATCAATAACAATAAAACGTTTCAGACTATTAAATGCAAAAAGGCATGCAATAATCGGTCAAATCAAATAAACGTCAGTCTCAACCAAGAAGGACGGGCTAAGAGCGGATAGGAAGATGGACTGGTAGGCCTATGTGCGGAGAAAAATATTTTGTATAATCGACTCTTCCGATGGTTTTCAACCCAGTTCCCTGAAACTTCACAGAAAGATTGCACATATGTTGATAGTGTGCATCTGATATCATTGAATATGAAATATTTTCCCAATTCTCAAGACTTAGGAGCTTCGTAATTTTCAGAAAAATTTATAAAGGATGATATCAATTTTATGTTATCAACTCCTATAGTTTTAATCCAGGTCATGAAAACTTCACAGATAGATTGCACGCCTATTGAAGTTGTGCACCTGCTTTTTATGAATTGTTTATGGTTTCAAAAAAAAAATGTGCACTTGGGAACAAAGTCATTTTTAGCTAAATTTACAAAGACGATACCAATTTTGCGCAATCAATTTCTCTAACAGTTTCCAACCTAAATTATTGAAAAATCGCAGAATGATTACCGATATACTTCAATATTGCTATCAAGAATGATTTGAGGATTTTTCTTTATTTTCAAGACTTTGGAACTTTGGATCCGAGGTGGAGTGGGCATTAAGTGTTACCCTTGACTGTCCTTCCGTCCTTACTTGCGTTAGTTTGTCCGTACGTCCGTCCGTACTTCCGTCCGTCCCATTTTCCTTTCCTATCTAACTAAAGTTTTCCTCATTCACAATTTATACATACACCTTGACGAGAAACAACACTCGCAGACAGAGTTGAAATGAGGGCAGCGAGTCACTTACTGTTCTACAGTTATGCTCCTTTGTAACTTGGAAAATTGCTACTTTTTTTTATCTTTTTCGCACTCTAACTTAAGTTTTCCTCATCCAAATTTTATAAAACTCATACACAATGCTGACAAACTAAAAGTAGCAGACGAACCGTTCTAGGGTTATGTTCCTTTATAACTTTTTTTTATTCATTTCTCCATTCTAACTTAAGTTTTCCTTATCCAAATTTTATGAAACTCATACACAATGCTGAGAACCAAAAGTCTTACACAGAGTTCGAATTCAGACAGTGAGTCACTTACCGTTCTAGAGTAATATACCTATATAACTTGAAAAATTGCAAAGCGTCAGCGGGGGGATCCGTATCCTCAGCCACATTATTCTTTTATCAGCAAAACTTTCAAAAGATGGTATCATTTTTTATCCAGATCTTTGGAACTTCACAGAAAGTGTGCAAACATATCAAGGTTGTGCACCCTACATTATCGAACTTGGTTAGAAGTGTTTGTCCCATTATTACATTTTATATTTCCATATACATTTTATTTAAATATTCAGTATAGACCTTTCTCTGATGTTTAAGAAGCACATTCCTCCCTATTCGGCTAGAGCTGTTAGCGTACAGTGGAATTCGTTTTACAACTGAAAAATGTTCAAACGATAGATACAATTAAAGGAATTTGTATAATTTTATTAAAAATGAAGTGTTAATACAATAAAGTGTGAATCCGTTTGTGTTTTAAACAGGAGTTACAGGTGGAGGCTTGTTTGATAATACTGGATCTGCTGTAAACTACGTTTGCTTACCTCATGACCCAGACTTCATTCAGGGAGATTCACCTGGTGGGAGTGCGACATTATATGGCAGCGAATATCAAGACAATTATTTCGGTCATAATTTATATGACAATGATGTACCTTGTGCAGTTTGCAGAGCAATTACCAAGTCATCTGTGGTAATGATTCCTGGCAAAATCAAATGTTATGGAGACTGGAACCGAGAATTTTATGGACGATTGGCAGCAGGACACGATGGCCATAAAGCTGCATCTGAATATGTATGCGTTGATCACCAAGCACAATATATAGAAGGCGGTGGTGTTAGTCATGATGGAAAACTTTTCTATAAGGTCGGGGCTAAATGTGGGTCATTGCCGTGTCCACCTTATTATGATATGGCACCGATGGCTTGTGTTGTTTGTTCAAAGTGATAGCAATATGTTTAGCATATACATCTATGAGTCTGTTTAATAAAGATGTTTTGGATATATTTGGACGCTTCGGACGCATAAACTTTATAACGTGTTGTTTTCATATTTTACAGCACTTGGTCGATACCTCTGCTGGTGGACTATCAGACCCCGAAAGTATCATCAGCCCAGTAGTCAGTACTTCGGTACTGACATGATTTATAACAAACCTTTCTAAAATTGTCCGTTAATGAATTTCGAAATTATTAGAAACTATGGTTTCAACTCCCTCGGGCAAAGTTGACCTTAGATGGATTTGGCTAATTTTTTTAGGTCCTTTTTTGTAAAATAGCTCTTCAACTGTTTCTGTTCTTGTACATCCTTTGCTTTCACATATTTGGCTTTGAGCGTTCCTCATGAAGGTAAACCCAGAAAAGCGCTTCGGACGCATAAACTTTATAACGTGTTGTTTTCAATTATTTTTTTTTTTTTGCCTTTTTAGAATTATTCATAGTTTTGAGAACATCACGATTGATACTTGATTAGCGTACAAAAAAGGCAGAAGATACTAAACGGACTTTCAATATCGTAAATCGAAATAACGAACAAACAACGCCATAGCGAAATACTAAAAACGGCCAATAGACAAAAACCAGTTCACAAAACACAACATAGAAAACTAAAGACTAAGCAACACGAACAACACAAAAAAAAAACCCCAAAAAAAAACACAGGTACTCGGTTAGCAGATTAAAAACATTTCAATCATTTTTTTTTCATTTTTCCGTATTTTCCCATCTATTTGTAGAACATGATTAACGTATTAAATATTGGCAACCCTATTTCTTTTTTTTTCCAGTAATGTGCAGTTAACCATCCATATCCGTATATTGAAAAATCCTAACGGAATCTAAATCGTCATTTTTAATAGCCTACCTTTCTTTTGATAAAAAAAGTAATTGAAAATATTTATATGTGACTATATTTCCTTTACAATGGCACTCATGTCCTTCCTAATTGAATATGCTATCAGGAGCATGTATTGATTTTCCGATCATCGAAACCCTTACTCAGTTATCGTTTCATTCAGGTCAACAAAAGAAAATTTCCTTGCAAACGTGTCGTTTTTCAACAACATGGACGAAATGGGAGATCAATATGTCATTCGGAAACTCTGTTTGATGCGTTTATTACAACGATAAACCCTCATATAGAATGCATATTTCTTCAAACACATCATTTCTTGTGTAGTAGCAATGTCAGATTATCCTCGTACCCCTCCACCACTGAACATATCAAAAGAATGTCCCCAAACTATCAGTTTTTTTTTATAAAGGAATATGAATTTCTGGTCAGACATCGTCCAGATATTACCACATCAAGAATTTATATATCATATAGACAGAGGCGGATTAGGCAGGGGGTAGGGGCCACCCTACTTATAGAGCTTCATATATGATAAATGCATATACTTTTTTATAATGATCACTCCAAACGTTAGTTTACCATGCCCCCTTTTTCAAATATTCTGGATCCGCACCTGATAAATCCTTCACAACGTCAATATTTTTAAGTAACTACTCGATTTTAGCAAATATCTAGCAAAAATCAAGTAAGTTATGGTCCCCAATTTGCAGAAAGGTTTTTTTCGTTTACTCTTAATTTTTTGATGGATTTTTATTCTGCGGCTAATAGTTTTTCACTGCAATAAATGTATCAATCAGATTTATCTCCCATTTCGTCTATGTTGTTGAAAACGACACCTTTGCGAGTTTCGTTGCTTTCGCTGGGAAATTTGAATTGTTTGACCTGCATGAAAAGACAGCTGAGTGTGGGTGTCGTTTTCGGAAAATCAATCTACATGCTTTTGATAGAAGAATCATTTGGGAAGGACATAAGTGTCTTTTTAAATTATTTTTTATCTAAAGAAGGGTAGGCTTTTCAAAATGGCGACTTATATTACTTTAAGATTTTTCAGTATACAGATATGGATAGTAAACTGCACATTCCTAGAAAACAAAGAAATATTGATGTCAATGTTAGATACGTTAATAATGTTAAACAAAAAGACAGGAAATGCCAAAACAAATTTATAAACATTGATTTAAAAATGTTTAATCTGCTAGCCGAGTCCCCGTGGGGATGATACGTGTTGTTGTTGAACCAATAATAAGAGTGTTTTCTTAAAAGCTTGCAACAATGCCACATTTAGAAAACTATTAAGTTTGTTGACATCATTGAATCTTCTTTATCATAATTTTAATGCAAATAATAGCATGGTCATTAACTGTTTATTATTGTGACATGATACAACAACAAAAAAAGATGATCAGAGGGATCCCTGATTCCGCCCCACACCCTCCCCTTTACTCCCGGCTCCCTATCGAAAATGGGTCAATTAAAGAAACTTTTCTAAAGGTAAAGCTACGGCATTTATGTCGAGTCTGCTTCTGTCGCAGAAAGCTCGACATAGGGATATGATCCGGCGACGTCTTAAAAGCTTAATATTTCAAAAGGTAGAAGACCTGGAGCCTTCATACTTTGTATATAGATGCCTTATGTTATGTAGTTTCCGTCTGTCATATGTCCATTGTCCCTGACCTCATTTTCATGGTTCAGTGACTACTTGATAAAAAAGTTAAGATATTAGTATTCTTTATTTCTCTCTTATTATGAGTAATAGGATAACTGTAGTTGGTATGTGCGTTCCTTGCAAGGTCTTCATACCTGGCAGGCAGTTTTCACTTGACCTCGACCTCATTTCATGGATTAGTGAACAAGTTTGAGTTTTCGTGGTCACGTCCATATCTCAGATACTGTAAGCAACAGGTCTACTATAATTAGTGTATGGAATGATTGTAAGATGTACATGTTCAACTGGCAGGTGTCATCTGACCTTGACTTCATTTTCATGGTTCAGTGGTTAAAGTTAAGTTTTTGTATTTTGGTCAGTTTTTCTTATACTGTATGCAATAGGTCAATTATATTTGGTGTATGAAAATATTTTACGATGTACATGTCAGTCTGGCATGTTTTATTTGACCTTGACCTCATTTTACGGTTCATTGTACAATGTTAAGTTTTTGTTGTTTTGGTCTGTTTTTCTAATACAATAAGCAATAGGTCAACTATAGTTGGTTTATGGAATGAGTGTAAGGTGTATATGTCTGTCTGGCAATTATCATCTGACCATGACCTAATTTTCATGGTTCATTGGTCAATCTTAAGTTTTCCTGGTTAAGTTTGTTTCTTAGATACTATATACAATAGGTCAACTATATTACAAGCATGTAATGATTGTAAGGTGTACATGTCTGTCTGGCAGGGTTCATCTGACCTTGGTGTCATTTTCATGGTTCATTGATCAATGTTATTATAAGTTTTCCTGGTTAACTATTTTGGTTTTTGGTTTCATGTCGTTTCAGCCCCAAGTCGTTCCGGACCAAGTCGATTGGCCCCATAGTTTAAGTCGATTCGACTTTATTAGAAATTATTAAAATGTTTATTCTTTGGACAAGCGATAAACAGCGAAATAAACCTCTTTTTGAAAAAACGTTTAACTTTTTTTTTTAGATCAATGAAATGATAAGCGATCTACAGTCACTGTTGTGCTATTACTGACAAATATTCAAAAATAGTATTTTCACTATAGATAATATGCTTAGTCAGGAGCCTGTTGTTCAGTGGTTGCCGTTTGTTGCTGTGGTTTTCGTTTCTCGTTTTTTATATAGATTAGACCGTTGGTTTTCCGGTTTGAATTGTTTTACACTAGTCATTTTGGGGCCCTTTATAGATTGCTGTTCGGTGACCTGTTTTCACACCCTATTTCAATGATAAATAAGTAACTTATTTGATCTTCTTACACCCCATTTTATTGGTAAAAAGGTAAGCAATTCGATGGTCTTAAATCACATTCTAATGGTAAAGAGGTTAGTAATTTGATGGTCTCGCACCACATTCTATTGGTAGAGAGGTAAGTAATTTGATGATCTTACATCAAATTCTAATGGTAAAGAGGTTAGTAAGGTGGTGGTCTCGCACCATGCACATTCTAGTGATGAAGAGGTAAGTAATTCGACGGTCTTACATTACATTCTAATGGTAGAGAGGTTAGTAATTTGATGGTTTCACACCACATTTTATTGGTAGAGAGGTAAGTAATTTGATGGTCTCACACCACATTCTATTGGTAGAGAGGTAAGTAATTTGATTGTCTTACATCACATTCTAATGGTAAAGAGGTTAGTAATGTGGTGGTCTCGCACCATGCACATTCTAGTGATGGAGAGGTAAGTAATTCGACATTCTTACATTACATTCCAATTGTAGAGAGGTTAGTAATTTGATGGTCTCATACCACATTCTATTGGTAGAGAGGTACGTAATTTGATGGTCTCATAACACATTCTATTGGTAGAGTTGTAAGTAATTTGATGGTTTCACACCACATTCTATTGGTAAAGAGTTAAGGAATTGGATGGTCTCATACCACATTCTATTGGTAGAGAGGTAAGTAATTTAATGGTCTCACACCACATTTTAATAGGAAAGAGGTAAGTACCGTAAGGAAGTAAATAGGGGTCATCCTAAAACAAGTCGTGAAAACAAAAATACGCACGCGGTAAGATCGTACTAATTTGGTGCTTAACTATTTTGGTTTCATGTCGTTTCAGCCCCAAGTCGTTCCGGACCAAGTCGATTGGCCCCATAGTTTAAGTCGATTCGACTTTATTAGAAATAATTAAAATGTTTATTCTTTGGACAAGCAATAAACAGCGAAATAAACCTCTTTTTAAAAAACGTTTAACATTTTTTTTAGATCAATGAAATGATAAGCGATCTACAGTCACTGTTGTGCTATTACTGACAAATATTCAAAAATAGTATTTTCACTATAGATAATATGCTTAGTCAGGAGCCTGTTGTTCAGTGGTTGCCGTTTGTTGCTGTGGTTTTCGTTTCTCGTTTTTTATATAGATTAGACCGTTGGTTTTCCGGTTTGAATTGTTTTACACTAGTCATTTTGGGGCCCTTTATAGATTGCTGTTCGGTGACCTGTTTTCACACCCTATTTCAATGATAAATAAGTAACTTATTTGATCTTCTTATACCCCATTTTATTGGTAAAAAGGTAAGCAATTCGATGGTCTTAAATCACATTCTAATGGTAAAGAGGTTAGTAATTTGATGGTCTCACACCACATTCTATTGGTAGAGAGGTAAGTAATTTGATGATCTTACATCACATTCTAATGGTAAAGAGGTTAGTAAGGTGGTGGTCTCGCACCATGCACATTCTAGTAATGAAGAGGTAAGTAATTCGACAGTCTTACATTACATTCTAATGGTAGAGAGGTTAGTAATTTGATGGTTTCACACCACATTTTATTGGTAGAGAGGTAAGTAATTTGATGGTCTCACACCACATTCTATTGGTAGAGAGGTAAGTAATTTGATGGTCTTACATCACATTCTAATGGTAAAGAGGTTAGTAATGTGGTGGTCTCGCACCATGCACATTCTAGTGATGAAGAGGTAAGTAATTCGACATTCTTACATTACATTCCAATGGTAGAGAGGTTAGTAATTTGATGGTCTCATACCACATTCTATTGGTAGAGAGGTACGTAATTTGATGGTCTCATAACACATTCTATTGGTAGAGTTGTAAGTAATTTGATGGTTTCACACCACATTCTATTGGTAAAGAGTTAAGGAATTGGATGGTCTCATACCACATTCTATTGGTAGAGAGGTAAGTAATTTAATGGTCTCACACCACATTTTAATAGGGAAGAGGTAAGTACCGTAAGGAAGTAAATAGGGGTCATCCTAAAACAAGTCGTGAAAACAAAAATACGCACGCGGTAAGATCGTACTAATTTGGTGCTTAACTATTTTGGTTTCATGTCGTTTCAGCCCCAAGTCGTTCCGGACCAAGTCGATTGGCCCCATAGTTTAAGTCGATTCGACTTTATTAGAAATAATTAAAATGTTTATTCTTTGGACAAGCGATAAACAGCGAAATAAACCTCTTTTTAAAAAACGTTTAACATTTTTTTTAGATCAAGGAAATGATAAGCGATCTACAGTCACTGTTGTGCTATTACTGACAAATATTCAAAAATAGTATTTTCACTATAGATAATATGCTTAGTCAGGAGCCTGTTGTTCAGTGGTTGCCGTTTGTTGCTGTGGTTTTCGTTTCTCGTTTTTTATATAGATTAGACCGTTGGTTTTCCGGTTTGAATTGTTTTACACTAGTCATTTTGGGGCCCTTTATAGATTGCTGTTCGGTGACCTGTTTTCACACCCTATTTCAATGATAAATAAGTAACTTATTTGATCTTCTTATACCCCATTTTATTGGTAAAAAGGTAAGCAATTCGATGGTCTTAAATCACATTCTAATGGTAAAGAGGTTAGTAATTTGATGGTCTCACACCACATTCTATTGGTAGAGAGGTAAGTAATTTGATGATCTTACATCACATTCTAATGGTAAAGAGGTTAGTAAGGTGGTGGTCTCGCACCATGCACATTCTAGTGATGAAGAGGTAAGTAATTCGACGGTCTTACATTACATTCTAATGGTAGAGAGGTTAGTAATTTGATGGTTTCACACCACATTTTATTGGTAGAGAGGTAAGTAATTTGATGGTCTCACACCACATTCTATTGGTAGAGAGGTAAGTAATTTGATGGTCTTACATCACATTCTAATGGTAAAGAGGTTAGTAATGTGGTGGTCTCGCACCATGCACATTCTAGTGATGAAGAGGTAAGTAATTCGACATTCTTACATTACATTCCAATGGTAGAGAGGTTAGTAATTTGATGGTCTCATACCACATTCTATTGGTAGAGAGGTAAGTAATTTGATGGTCTCATAACACATTCAATTGGTAGAGTGGTAAGTAATTTGATGGTTTCACACCACATTCTATTGGTAAAGAGGTAAGGAATTTGATGGTCTCACACCACATTCTATTGGTAGAGAGGTAAGTAATTTAATGGTCTCACACCACATTTTAATAGAAAAGAGGTAAGTAATTTGATGGTTTCATACCCCATTATAATGGTAAGAGAGATAAGTAATTTGATGGTCCTACATCACACTATAATTGTTAAGAGGTAAGTTACTTTATGGTCTCACACCACATTCTAAGGGTAAAGAGACAAGTAATTTTATTGTCGCTCACCAAATTCTAAGGGTAAAGAGACAAGTAACTTGATGGTCTTACACCACATTCTAAGGGTGAAGAGGTAAGTATTTTATGATCTTTAAGCTCGGCAGATTTTTGTAAAAATGTATGACCAAGCCAGTAAAATGTTATTATTATCAATAGTTGGAAAAAGTGTTCACAGCAAAGAAATAAAGTACATGTAAATGTGTGCCTCCAACATAGTCAAATCCTACCTGTAACCTTAAGACCGGATGTCTTATTCAAAAGGAACTGTGACCTTTAACACATTGATTGATTGATGGTTGGCTGCTCAAAATTCAGTGGCAAATATTACATGCATATTAGGACGAGAACAAATTAACAATAAGTACGAATAATAGGAGTGTCCTGTGCATGTAATAGAGGCCGTTCAGGAGGAGGTCGGGAAATTTGGACTGCCACTGGAGTAAATGAGTGTATTCGGATAAAAAACAGATATTTTGCCTTGCAACAGGCAACCTATTGACCCCTCAAAGAGTTGTTGCAGGAGATCTCAACGTGCATGGCATATACCTTGCACGAGGTATCGGATTTAACGTCCTCATTCTGACCGGACGTCCTTTAACACATGTTTATCGTTAAAAAATAAACCTGTCAAATTTGCTAAAAAGTGACCTGAGGCATTTTTCAAATGTAACCCCATGTGATGGTTATATGAATTGAAACAACAACCCAACGATACAAAAACTCAAAAGACACCTAGGAGTAAACATAGTTACGATCTTCAACAAAACGGTCACCTTTGTTCTATAAGCTGTTATCAGTTTTGACCACGTGTCTGTTATGCTATCTTTGGTATTCATAATACTAAGATGTTTGATTGTAAACAATTATGTCAGTGGATTTTCTGGGCATGTTTTCTAACAGGGACTGTATCAGTTGAAAAACGCCTTCTCTTAAACGATCCTGATATTGTTTCAACCTTGCAACAAATGACGTTAGAACTGCAAAAGCTCAGAGCAGATGTTTCCGTGTTGCAGCAAGAGACGTCACTGTTAAAAAAATCAAAACTTACCGGTAAGATTTTTTACATTGGCATTAATAGACGAACATTAGCACAGTTTTACTGCTGGACAGGAAGAGTCCAAAGATGTACATCTCATCTATTTACATGATATTTTGTATAACAATTTTGTTTGTCTATAGTTAATGGGAAACAACCTTTCGGTGATATATGATTTCCAATAGGATGGAGTGGGCATTTATTTTAGTATATAAAGGATCTTGATGTTTTAGGAATAAAATACCTTCAGGTGTGGTATTTTTGTTATGCCCCACCTAGGGGCATTATGTTTTTCGGTCTGTGCGTCCGTTCGTTCGTTCGTCCGTCCGTTCGTTCGTTCGTTCGTCCGTCCGTTCGTTCGTTCGTCCGTTCGTCCGTCTGTCCCGCTTCAGGTAAAAGTTTTTGGTCAAGGTAGTTTTTGATGAAGTTGAAGTCCAATCAACTTGAAACTTAGTACATATGTTTCCTTTGATATGATCTTTCTAATTTAATGTCAAATTAGAGTTTTGATCCCAATTTCACGGTCCACTGAACATAGAAAATGATAGTGCGAGTGGGGCATCCGTGTACTATGGACACATTCTTGTTCCATATTCTTTGATAAATATTCCAATTACAGATTTTGACTCCTACATGTATGTAACTTTTGTTGAAACTGAATTAGAATCTTACCTCTAAAGGGTACAGAACGCTAGTATTTTGCTAAAAAGTATTCCGATCGTATTCCGATCGTCAGGATTTTGAACACCATTGACTATAAGATTTTTAAAAAACACATTTTTCTAGAAGTTTTTGATGTGTAAACTGGGGCGATTAACTCACACACTGAATTAAAAGTCCGATACATACAATTCATATGGTCACTGACTTCGTTTTTGCTGCATCACCCAATTCGTTTTCTAGCTGGTAGTGAAAAACGTCAAATATCGACGTTTTACGGCTTACAACGTGGTGACGTTACGTTTATTTCGACATATTGTGATATTATTTCACCTAGAACACCACTTTGAATGATATATACCGAAGTCGGTGACCGTATTATATTTTTACATCATTAAAACGGAAATGTATGTATCAACAACATGGAATTTAAAGATGAATGTTTTTTGCTGATTTTCTGTGCTTTTTATACAAATGTTCACCTATTTTGAAGGAATTCAATCAGGGATATTTTAGAAAATAAAAAATGCACATGAATCCTTTTTCGATTTTCAGTTATAATTTATGATTAACGAGCTATATATGTAGTTATATGTAAAATCTTAGCAAAATATGTAATATAGCCCACTTACTGTACCTTGACCTTACAGGGAATGGTAAAAATACAAAACTATATTTTTAACGTTTTTATTGTGCTTCTTTAGGGTCTGCATACACACGATGGGGAAGAAAAGACTGTCCAGTTAATGGAACAGAGTTGGTATATACTGGTAAATATTTATGATATGACCTATATCTTCAAGAAAATCATTATAGTATACAATATTTTCTTTCATTTGTGTAAACAGCAGACGTTTCATATACATATAATATATGTACCAGTAATTTCCGACAGAGAAATAATTTAAAAGGCAAGACAAGTACTTTTAATACTATTCTAATTTATTTACAAGTATTTATAATCGATTCCGAAACTGTATGGTGGGATTTTTTTTAATGGTCCAATATATATATGTTATGCCAGCTGTGACACCCCCTCCTTTTTCCAAAGAGATCATGCAAGAATTATTTAATGTGTAAAGAGAATGACAAAACTTCCCCACAGGAGGCAACAGATGTAACGTCCCCATTCCAAGCGGATGTAGCTGCTTTATTATACATCTCGCAAAGTCAAACGGAAGCCCCTCTTTTTATTTTTGTAAAATAAAGTCAACTCCAAGGTTTCAAATTTTTCCGTACCCGTTAAATTCAATGTGTATAAAATGAAATGTAGGGTTTACGACAATGAAAAAGCAACCCAACGTCAAAAATAACTAAAGACATCTAAGGGCATCATACAGCATAATGTGTATTCAATATGTTTACCCTCCAATCGTTCCGAGTATACAAAATTTGCGTTTTTATGTAAAATAAAGCTATGTTGAGTAGATTTTCCTTCGTGATCTTTAAACTGGATCCGAAGAAGGGACTACCTTTTTTCCATGCGTGAAAACGAATAGGACTAATTTGACATGAAATTAAGAAATAATTCATGGGGGCTTGAATTTATACTGATTTTACCACAGATTGGCCTTTTATGCTAAATATTTTACCACGAGCGACAGCGAGGGGTAAAATATCTGCATAAAGGGCAAACCCGTGGTAACATCAGTATAAATTCAAGCCCCCATGAATTATTTCTATTCTAATAGGACAAATACTGTATTTCTTTTGGATCAAAGCGCTCTAGGTGAAGGCAAATATTTGCCGTTCCCGTAAATAAACGCACTTTTACATTGACGTAAAAGAACGGAGCAAACTGAACTAGTAACATGCTTGAACTATTTACAATAACGTATTTAGTTAGGTTTGGAGAAATTTAAATGATAAGTTCACTTATATGTAAAAAAATGGCTTATAACACATTTTATCATCGTTTGTTTACGTTTCCTAGTTGTGATGATTTTCGGTTTCACAATCGTGCATTTTCCCGTAAAATGTTTATATTCTTACGTCATCGTTCGGTGATGTCGGGTAGCTCATTCATAAAAAAGCATATGACGTGGGAGTATGATCGAAACAGCCCAAACAATATATTCATATTTTACCACGGGTGTGTACTAAAAGCGTTTGCAGAACGTCATATTAGAATTATGTTTAATGTACACATTCGTAAAGTGCAATTTAACGTGTTTACATTAGAGTTAACTTATCTTCCTTTTGTACATATATTAGTATCTGTAGGGAGAAACGCAAAAAACGTGTCACCATATATCTGTACCACAAGAACTTCAGTGACTTTTCAATATATACCGTATACATCCAACATATAATTGCCATAATAGTATAGAAAGTTCATGAGTATCCAAAATACATATTCTGTTGTATGTGTTTGTAAAATAAATCCTGACATGATCCCTTAATCATAACTTGAATGTTCATGCATAGATAATGCATAACTGTACTAACGTGGAAAATTAATACAATATACTTTGATTCTTTGTAGCTATAAACAATTTGCAAGGATAAATCCAGTTGTGACAAGTGTTGTTGTACCCAACTAATGCCCCATAATTTGTGTTTCTACATAAGTTTTTAAGTCTTTGTTTCGTGTACATTGTAGGAATTATCGGCGGGGGATATTACACTCATAAAGGAGCGCCCGCAAACTATGTCTGTTTAACACACGATCCTGATTTTATTCATGGAGATAAGGTTCAATTTCCGTCTGAAATTTCCGGAATGTATGGCGGGGAATACCAGGACAACTACTTTGGGAATAATCTTTACCAAAACGACCCACCATGTGCAGTGTGTAGGGCAACTGACAAAACATCGGTCATCATGATTCCTGGAAAAACAAAGTGTTATGGAGATTGGCACTTAGAATATTATGGGCGATTAGCTGCAGGAAGGGACTCACACGAAACTGCGTCTGAATACATATGTGTTGATCACCAGGCACAATATCGAGAGGGTGGTGGTACTAGTCAAGACGGAAAAATGTTGTATGCAGTTGTCGCTAAGTGTGGTACGTTACCATGCCCACCTTACCATGACAATGCGCCGATATCATGTGTTGTTTGTTCCAGATAATATGAGCGCAGAGAAATATAGCACTTTCGGTATTTTGTTGTTTTTCTTGGTACATCTATTTATAATGGTGAATTCTTATATCCAACGCAGATCTTATTGAATTCATACGAAGTGTTAAATGAGCCATTTTCTCTTATTCTGATATTTTGCTTTCTCTAAAAGAAAGGCATAATTTAAGAACAAATATAGTTTCGTTGAGGACATTTTCTGTTGAGCGGAAATTGATTTAAAAATGTGTTGTAGTCTTTTTCTAATTAAACTTAGGATTACGGTACTATACAATCTGATTGAATTCAGATATATTGTAACTCGCTTACTCGTCCAAGTATAAGAAGCATAACGAAATCAAAGATTTGTATTTTAACTAGATTGTGTACTATATGAAGCAAATGGAAGTGGTGCATAATCTAGCTTTTCTCTGGGTACAATACATATTGAAATATCAAAGTTTCACCACTGAACACTGTAAACATTGTCCTAAGAATTCAACAAATAAGGGTATTATTTGGTTTCTGTGATAGACAGATGAACCTCAGACAAGACAAATTACTTTTCAGTAATTTTTACAATTAAAAAATGGAGATACAGATGATATGTTTTCGAATGGTATTTGATTTAGACGTATGTAGATATGTAGGTGGGTGCATTAAAATTGAAATTTGTATCGTTAACTAGTACATGATTGTAAAACTTGTGTTTTAAATTTGATTTGCTTCCCTTTATTCGTGTACAATTTAGCTGCTGACGCATTGAAAATATCATCAATTATAGTTGTTTCCTTTCGGATCGTCTGTTTGAAACTACGCGGGTCTTATGAAGTAATCTTTATATATATTCTTCTGAAGAGATTGGGCCAATTTCCACAGGTTTTGTTTCAGGCTATGGTCATTTTGAAAACGTCTTCCGATCTTCGCTAAATTTTACAGTATCATACTTAGAATTTGTTAATGCTTATTTTTGAAAATGTAACAAAGGTTTGAATGCTTGGCAAAGTTTGAATTTTTACTCAATATTTCATCATAAAATAAGCTAAGCTATCTACCGTGTTGTAGAAACTAAATGTAGTAATGAGTGACATTGTCCGTCAATGCAAAAGTTTACAAAAACTTGTACAATCTGTCATTTTGTATCAAACTTTGTCAACACAGAATTCTATGTATTGTGCAGAAAGACATATTTTTTTGTTGTTTAAAGATTGGGGGAAAATCATTTTGATATTAAATTGATTTTAATACAAATAGACTTCATAAAGAAAAATCCCTCATATTGTAGGTTTTGCGATTCCTTTTAAGCTTATTTATAACATTTATCATGAAGTGTGTACTACAGCTTAACGTTCAATTATTGCTATACCGTTATACATGTACGACATGAATAACAAATAAAAGATTTAAATCAAGGGAATAGGAGAAAAGTCAAGGATAGAGAGAAAAACAAAGGATGGAGATAAAAACCTAAGGGTGGAGGACTAAAATCAAGGGAAGAGGAGAAAAATCTAGGATGGGGGGGGGGGGGGGGGTCAAAGATACAGCTGAAAATTCAAGGGTTGTTCTGAAAATGCAAGGGAGGTGCTGAAAATTCAATTAAGGCGTATGGAAAACCTCCACTCTTGATTTGCTGTTTTGATCAATGCAAGTGTAGAAATGCTCTTTAATTCATACCAATTTCTATACAAGAAGACCCTTTAGTGAACATAGCAATTTTACCTTTTAATATGAAATCTACAGTCACTTTAATAGTAAGAAAGAAAAAAAAAGAATTTAAATGTTTTGTACCACTCGCAAACGATAATGAGGTGCAATTACCGTCTCAAATTCGCCATCTATATTCATATCTAACAAAAACACAATAATGATGACAACGAGGGTAGCCGAGGCTTTTTACAATAATAAATATTGAAAGCTTCTCTTTTGTACTGAATATTGTGTCGAGTTACAAAGTCGGGTATATCTCATTATCTGTGAAAATACGATATTTGTGAAAACTGGTCGAAAATGTTTAATAACAATGGCTAAACGTCAAAGAATTTTGTAAATGATTTGATAAAAATCGTTAGAATATTTGTGTCACTACTACTCAGCAGTTTGCATTCATACAAATGTGTCTTAACAGATACACCATAGGTGGGGGTAATAAATTGTATGCACTAATAAAAGTGCAGCTCTCATAATACATTACAAAAACGGAATTTTACAGATGCCCAATTACGGTCGTTCATTTTGAAATAAATTGCATTAATGAATTCTGGCGAACGCATCTTTAAAATTTTCATTAAGCGATTATAGATATTGAAAAGTACTTCATAAAATCAAATCTACAATGAGTCTGAATGAATATTTCAGTTTGTCGTTGAAGAACTTCTAAATGCAGAACAGCAATAAATATACCGTTCCTCACATATATTGTTATATCTGTAAATTTCTCTGTTGTCTCATGCATTCATAATCATCACCGAGGGGCCTCGGTGGCCGAGTGGTCTAAGTAGTTACTACTGTAATCACTAGCCAGTCAACACTGAGGTTGTGTGTTCGAACCCCGCTCGTGCGGGTGCACTCGACTCCACTCTTTATTGACTAGGATTGTCAGTTTTCCTATCGAAGGTCGGTGGTTTTCTCCGGGCACTCCGGCTTCCTTCACCAATAAAAACTGGCCGCCACGAAATAGCCCAAAAGCGGTGCTTTAAAGTGGCGTTAAAACACCAAAAATCAAAAAATCAAATCATAATCACCGATTATTTATTTATTTTTTGGTTCAAGTTACATGTAATGTAGCTGGAGGCAAAGAGAATGGATTGCTCGATCGCCTGCTGTGTCAAACGGAAGACTTTAAAATGTACATTTACCGCTTTTCAGCCAGGCACGTTCGGCATAAATTTAGGAGTAAAATATATGGCTGGTCGAAAGGGTCACGTGTCTTTCTTTTAGATTATAAACTTGTGAACTACAGCATGTTGACTGTTCTAGTACAATGTAGGTTTAAATTTTATCATCTTGAATATGCATTTAATATTTGCCGATGGATGTTACACAGCCATTAATCAATCAATTTAAAAAATGTTCCATTTATATACGCACGACTTCGGATGACCAATGGTGATCAATTCCTTACAGTGAATTGTTATTTTGGATTTAAAATTATTTTAATGCGAAATAAATTTTCAGTTTCAATTTTAAAGGTTCATGATAACGAAACTTAACCATGACCTCAAATTCCGAAAATTCGTGTCAATGAATTCAAAAAATATCTATAAAAACCCGAAACTAGTTTTCGTAGAATACACATTCATTATTGTAATCAAACACACAATTTCAAAATCGCTTATCTTGTAAACAGATACAGTCCTCGATAGATGTTTATATAGTAAATAATCCTAGATAGATTAATCCCGCCGACAAAAAGTAGGCCTTTGTGCTTTATCTGACTTTAACGGTATTGTCAATACCATGATGATGATATATTTACAAATAAATTTTAACATGCTTTTGTTAATTTAAAATTTAGCGGGTTGCCGAGTAGTTTTAATGATATATGATAAAGATAAACATTGACTGAAACGGAGATCTGAGCTCTGTATATTATCAGCAGGTAAAAATCGCGGTCGGTATAACGTTATATGTGTTGTTTTTTTTTTTAATTTTCACGTGTAACAGTAACGTATTGATGGGAAAGACAGATTTTGATCTCAGTTCTTCACTTTCTATAATCAAACATTAAAAATCTGACAGATTAAATTAGGAAGGATGAAGAGCTTCCAGATTTACGGGTAGAATAACGATGTGACATAGCACCTACTTAATTTCCTTGCTACACAAAAGCAAATCATGACATTTAATAAAATTGAGAATGGAAATGGGGAATGTGTCAAAGAGACAACAACCCGACCACAGAACAGACAACAGCAGAAGGCCACCAACAGGTCTTCAATGCAGCGAGAAATTCCCGCACCCGGAGGCGTCCTTCAGCTGGCCCCTAAACAAATATATATACTAGTTCAGTGATAATGAACGCCATACTAAACTCCAAATTGTACACAAGAAACTAAAATTAAAAATAATACAAGACTAACAAAGGCTAGAGGCTCCTGACTTGGGACAGGCGCAAAAATGCGGCGGGGTTAAACATGTTTATGAGATCTCAACCCTCCCCCTATACCTCTAGCCAATGTAGAAAAGTAAACGCATAACAAATAAGTATGGATTAGATAAAAATTCGCTATCATTTAGTGAATAAATTTAAAATAAATAATTTTATCACTCTAAATTCAACATAATTGGTACCGTTTATGTTATTATGCACTTTTGACTTTCTCTTCGTCTTCAAGTCGGAGTCTCAAATTTGGTGCTAATTTCAATTTACAGTTATTCCTCATCCATGAAGATCAAAGAATAATTTCATTCATTAAACAATGTAATAAGAAAAACTATTAATTGTCTGACGGTAAATGGTACTTCTATGGCGAATGATCGATCGCAGAGCAAGAGCCAAAATGTTTCACTTCACTTAAGTCTTGTGTCTGTTGGCCTATATTTTGCGGTATCTATACACAGAAACCCGATGATTTGTTTAGCATACAAAGGATGTTGTATAGTTATATAACCTCCTTGAGCATACTAAGTCTGGTCATTATTTTACCTCCATTAGATATTATTTACCGTAAGTTGACCTACCAGACGTAAGACTGATAAGGATCGAATGACGTAAAGTACGAAGATGTGGCATGATTGCAAGAGAAGCAACTATACACCAATGTTCAAATAACGTATAGATTTAAGCAACTATAGGTCACCATATAGCCTTCAGTAATCAGAAAAAAACCACACCGTATAGTCAGCCAGACATAATTCATATAATTTATATACATGAAGTTTGCATGTCGAATTTATCGTAGACATTTTAATAGGTTGTAATTAAAATAAAATTCATTGTACCTTTGATTAACTTTTTTGTTTAATTTATGTAATACGTATATCTGCATCCAGTTTACATGTATGCACACGGTGTGTGTGTTCTTTGTTAATATTAAGAGATGTACTTTTTTATTTACTTATTAGCTTTAATTTAATCTACAGTTTAACTTCCAACTGAACAATCCGTTTAATGTTGTCTTTAAAAAATTCTTGTTTGACAATGATAACAGATTTTCCTATCACAGATACATGTATTCCGATACTTTAATTGGACATTTATTTAATAAGAACGCACAGAGGGTCATTAAAACAAGAACTACGATATTCTTTTGGTGATTTGTGTCAATGAATATCATATTTAAGGTAAAACAAAACGATAGGTTGCGAAGTCTCCGTGTTCTTGGAAATGAAGCCCTTTTCACAATTTGTTTCGGCTAAATTTTATGTTGAATTGTGTTTGATTTACAAGCGATTCTTTTTTTCAAAAGTATTATATACGCAAATTTCCAAAATATATACTTATCAATAATGCGTTTCTGAATTGGTCAATGTAATAACAAATGTTTTGTATTATCAATCACGTAAGACCGTATGTGTTCATTTGGTTTTTTGTTTGTTTTTTTTTATGCTTCATGTTTTTTTTAAATACCTACCAGCCAGCTAGGAAAACACACACACACACACACACACACCAAAATAACAAAAATAA